ATTGACCTAAGGATCATAAGACAAGGAGGCAATACAGCAGCCTATAAGGGGGACTAGGAAGTTTGTGACTTTTCTCTGAAAATTGGAATTAAACCCAAGATAACAGTATGCCATTATAAATAATACATTGAATTCACTATATAGAGTAAGTCAATATACCTGGTGTCTTAGTTAGGGTTTCTATTGCTGCAATGAAACACAATGACCAAAAGGCAAGTTGTGGAGGAAGAGGTTTAATTAGCTTACACTTCCACAGCATTGTTCATCATCAAGGGAAGTCAGGACAGAAATTCAAGCAGGACAGGAACTTGGAGGCAGGAGCTGTTGCAAAGGTCATGGAGGGGTGCTGATTACTGGTTTGCTCCTCATGGATTCCTTAGCTAGATTTTTTACAGAACCCAGGACCACGAGCCCAGGCTTGGCACCACCCACAATGAGTTGGCCCTCCCTTATTGATCACTAATTAAGAAAATACTCTATAGGCTGGCCCAGAGCCCAATCTTATAGAGGCATTTTCTCAATCTTTTCCTCCTCTCAGATGACTATAGTTTGTTTCAAGTTGACATCAATCTAGCCAGGGCAACTCATGTTCCTGAAACAAGTGACATTAGAGAGAATGCTATTAAAGGCAGAGGCAGAGTGACACACCACTTCCATAAGATGAGAAATACCAGCCAGGAGGTGATGGTGCACACCTTTAATCTCAGCATTCGGAAGGCAGAGGCAGGTGGATCTCTGTGAGTTCGAGGCCAGCCTGGTCTACAAGAGTTAGTTTCAGGAGAGCTAGGACTATATAGAGAAACCCTGTCTCAAAAAAAAAACTCAAGAGATGATAGATATAGATAGATAGATAGATAGATAGACAGACAGACAGACAGACAGACAGACAGACAGACAGATAGATAGATAGGGAGAGAACCAGGAGCCATTGTCACTGGAGAAGGCAGAGGGTGGGCCTCTTGCTAAAAGCCTCCAAAAGGATCATGGCTGTGCTGCTATGTTGGTTTCAGACTCTTGAAGCCCAGAACTGTGAGATGGTAGCTTTGATTCGTGTCAAATCACGGGGGATTTGCTACATCAGGCTATGATAGTTAGATTGTCAACCTGATGGTTAGTAACTTTCTAACTCCTGTGACCAAATATCTGACAAGAATAAATATGAGAGAGGAAGGGTTTATTTTTATGATTTATTTATTCTTTTAAATTTCATTTTACCCTCCAACCATTGTTCTCCCTCCTGCCTCTTTTCCTGCCATCCTTCCCCTCTCCCCCCCTTCAGCCCATCCTCAGTTCACTCCTCCTCCCATGAAGAGTCAACACAATTTGGCACAATAGGTTGGGACTGGACCGAGCCCCTCTCCCATGCATCAAGGCTGAGCATGGCATCCCACCATAGGGAATGTGCTCTGACAAGCTAGCTCATGTACCAGGCTTGTATCCTGGTCCTACCACCAGGGGCCCCTCAGATAGTCCAAGCTTCACAACTGTCTCCCACAAATGGAGGGCCTAGTTGGGTTCCCTGGAGTCCCCACATCTGTTGGCCTAGAAGTTATAAGTTTCCACGAGCTTGGTTCAGCTGTCTCTGTAGCTTTCTCCATTATGATCTTGACCTCCCTTGGCTCATGTATTCCCTCCTCCATGTCTTTGAGTGGATTCCCAGAGCTCAGTCTGGTTCTTGGTTGTGCACCTCTGCATCTGGTTCCATCAGTTACTGGATGAAGGCTCTATGATGCTAGTTGGGGTATTCACCAATCTGATTACAGAGGTGGGCCAGTTTGGGCATCAGAGAGAGGGTTTCTTTCTGCTCGCTCTTCCAGGGGATCATTTCATAATGGTGAGCAATAGGAGGGGAAGACACTGTGGCAGGACCAGGAGATCAACTGATCACTGTCTGCAGTCAGTAAATAGCAAACTGGAAGTGGGCTTGCCCTGTAAAACCTCAATGCCTGCTGGACTCCCTCCACATATTAAAGATTCTATACCCCTCCCAACCAGCCCTACAGGGGATCAATGTTCAAGCATGTGACTGAGGAAGGGGACATCTCACATCAAACCACAGGGAGGTCTGGAAACTCCAAGGAGACACACTGTTGGGTACTGAGGATGTTTCTAGAAAATATTAACTGGGGAAGGAAAACCAGCTTCAGAATGGTGGCATTTGTTGGCATGACTAATCAGCAAACTAGTGGCAGATTGGCTACAATGGCCCCCTTCCATCATGGAGCAAGCAGCACTTTGTACTTACAGGAATATGCACTTATTCTTGTAGCTCAAACTACCATCCACGGGCTTACACAGTGCGTTGTCTTATCAGCCACTGCGGTGTTCTACACAACATTCCTTCTGATCAAAGAACCCGCTTCACAGGCAAGTGAGTGTGACAGTGGCAGTCGGTTTCAAGTCCATGCAATTCGCTGGTCATACTCTGGCCCCCACTATTCTGAGGCATATGGCTTGATAGAATACTGGAACTACCTTTTAAAGACACAGTCTCAGCATCTTGGTGGCAGTGGCCTAGAGGGCTGGGGCATGTTTTCCAGAAGGCTGTGTATACTCTGAATCTGGGTCTAATACATGGTACTGCTTTCCCATAGCCAGGCATTTTGTAACTTTTCCTATGAATATGTAAGCAAGTGTCTACTCACTAGGATTAGGCACCAATTTCACTGAGGCCATCTTAGAGAGCCAGTGCATTTATTCGGGTTACTAACAAGAGCATGGGTGAGGGGTTACTTGGAAGCATGATGAGTCAAAGGCGATGGAGGTGGGAAGAACAGTCTAGCGTCCAAGAGATCCATGGGGTGGGGCATCTCTCAGTGAATCAGAGGTCAGATCTGAGAGGCATAAAAAGGAGAAGCAAAGGGTCTTGTGTGAGATTTAGTTTCCAGACAGGGAAGGCACAGGGCTGCAGGCTGAGGCTTGATGGAGAGCAGTGCAGTCAGCATTGTGCTCTGAGGATATGGGAAGACAGGATCATCCGTTTTGGTATGATGTAGAGGTAAGAGCTAGTGGCCAGTTCTTCGCTTCTCTGATCATCAGCTTGAAGCTTGAACCGAAATATCTGTCTTTGGGTTTTTAAAAAATTATTCGTGTTATATTCATATAGCAGATATATACATTGCAATTCTTAACAGTAGCACACTTACAGTTATGAAGTAGCGATGAAACAGTTTTATGATCGAGGTCACCACAACGCAAGGAACTGTCTTAAAGAGTCACAGATTAGGAAGGTGGAGAACCATTGGTGTAGAGGATATTGCTCCAACTTACAGATCTGGGAAGGAGTGGCCTTGGAGCCGTTGGAACATAGTTTAATAGGAGACTACCCATTAAAGACCTGACACTGACTATGATGTACTATATAATATTGGACAACTTCCCTCCCCTTACCTCAGTTTCCCTATTTGTACAATAGAAAGGTTGATCTCCAGGGATGCTGAGAATAAATGTCGTTAACAGGCAGGAAAGTGCTTTAGATAGAAAGTGCTATAAAATCAATTCAAGGTGCTATTATTTTAAGGTGCAAGATAAGAACTTATAAAATCAGGCATAAAAATGTCCTCTTGGATATATTTTCATTCTGTAGAAAATTAATGACACATCTTGGACTTGGATTTTCCGTAGAGTTAGTCCCAGGTTGCTGGCAGTGTGAGATCCCTTAGAGATATGTATTTCTACCCATCCTGCTGGGCTGTCTGTGGTCCAGAGGGAGAAAGGACTCGTTCAGTTACAAAGCAAATTAGGCTGGGTAGACCTTGTGCTTTTTTTCCCGTTTTAGTCTTCTACTCATGGGGATGGTAGGACAGATGGCTGTCATTTGTGAGACATCTCTGAGCAATACCTGGGGCTTGTGACTTGCCTCAGCCTGCGGGGCATAGCCCTGTGCCTCTTAAGCCTCAGAGGGAATCCCCCTTCACAACTGGCCTTAGCTCTTCAGCGCTGCGGACTGGCTCAAACTGGAAACTGTGGCTGGTCTCTTCCACACAGTGGGATGGTTCCTGTACAGTGTGGCTTGGTTTGCTTTGAGTGCAGAGGTAATTGCAATATATTGAGGTTTGGTATTGTAATAAAAATAGGGGCCATTACAGCTACCATTTATGTCATTAGTATTTAGTGGCGGTGTGCTGCAGCTTTTTTACTGCTCATAAAACTGTCGTTGCTTGCAGATATGTCACGGTGCTGATATAAATTTAAAGGGTTGGAAATCCATAAGTCATAAAAACTAGATAGTAAATAGCAGCAGAACAGGATGGACAAGAACTGTTGCATTAGGCATGCAAATGCTTATGGATTTGCATGTCTAGTGCTCTATTCGCATAATGAGAAGCACATTTACATTACAGATGGACTTGATTAACTAGGACCTTGTAAATAAAGTCCATCCAGCCTAAATAGAGGGTGTCTGGGTTGCGGAGAAGGGATTGTTGCAAAACCCAAAGGGCAAGTAGAGTCATTTCTTGTTTAGCCCCTCCCCCCCCGGAGGGTATTGATTTAGTAGAAAAATCTTCAGAATCGTCCAGACGGGAATGGATTTGGATGGGAATGGATTTGGTGTAACAGTAATGGCTGCCATGCACCAAGTGCTTCCTGTAAGGCAGCCACTATTTAAACATTTACACACATTAGCTCACTTACGCGTTGCACACCTTTGTTACTGTTCTTCTACAGATGGGAAGCTGAAATACAGAGATAACAAGGGGACTTATCGAAGTCCAACCATTAAAGAGTGAGAGGGCCTCATGTGACGGCGTGATCTCGTTCCATGACTGGCAATGCTTGGCCCACGTGTGTGGAGCTAATCCTTATTAAGCATATCCCATGTGCCAGACAAAGAATGTAGACAGGTAAAGAGGTAAGCAAGTGCTTTCTTCTTTAAAAGCCTAGGTTAGAGATTAAGAAGGCAAACATTCCTACACTGTATGCAGAAAGACAATCCTGCAGAAAGGTGGTCAAAGACGGCGACTTGGAGGAGGGGCCCTTAAACAGAGACTCAGGCTATGTAAGAGCCAGGCTGAGAGCACTTGTTTAGGGAACATTGAGCACAAAGCCATGGAATGGGGGCACCCCGCCAAAGGAAGATGCTGTCTTTCCACATGGGAGCACTGGGCACACAGGAATGGGGTCAGAGGGGAGGGGGAGGGGGAGGGGACTGTTCCTGAGGATCTCAGCACATGGGAAGACTGGAGAGGCCAACCTGTCATCTGGTTCTTCAGCCCTCTTCAAACAGATCAGGCAGCAGGATTAGCATCTCAAATGTCAGCTCCTTGTTACACACGCCTGGGCCAGTTCCTGTTCCCAGGCCCAGTGTGGCTTCTTCAGTCATGCCACAGACTTTTGAATTTCCCAGGCTGTTGCAACTGCAACAGTGCAGGAGTCCAGCGTTCTCCTGCTGGGTTGCTGGCTTTCCACCTGAGGGCAGAAGGAAAGTATATGTTTGCTAGCGGTGCCCGGCTGAATGAGAAGTCCACAGAGTACCCAGTGTCCCAGAGTGCACACATCAATGTGTATCTGTTACATGGGTTCTTCTTTTGGTAACAGCACTTAACAGTAAACATACTACTTACCTCAGGTGTGCGTACTACACGTGTGTGCGCGCATTCATGTTTGTGTGTATGTATTTGGAAGCCATAGGTTGATGACTGGTGTCTTCCTCTATTGCTCTCCTCTTCATTTTTTGAGACCCTGTCTCTTTTCCAATATGTATCTCATTATTTGTTAGGCTGACCAGCCAACCAACTCCAGAGACCCACCTGTCTCCACCTGCCCCTCAGTGTTGGGGTTACAGATGTGCGTTGTTGCTCCCAGCTTTTTCCATGGGCTCTAAACATGGGCTCTTGTACTTGTGCAGCAAGCTCTTTACCTACTGAATCATCTCCCCACCCCTTGAGGCACATAAGCCTTGTGTGTCCTTTGTATGGTGGCAGACAAAATGTGGGAGACACGGGGGACTTCCTCATGGCTAGCATTCTTGGCATCACTCTAGGGAGCCCAGGTGGGCACAGTTCCCATGGCAGGCTTGCTTTCCTTCTCCGACATTCCAGATAGCGTGCAGCACCTGAAGCACACCAGGGAGCCCGGCATCCCTCTCAGCTTCTCCACTGCTTGGAAGCTGCTCCTTCCTTGACAGTGGCTCTGGGAGCATCACTGAACAGCTGGAAGTTGTCATGCAGTCTGTAGCAAGGTGCCACATGAGAACATTGGCCCTGGGGCTGATGTGAGAGGTGGCATGAAGGCATATGGGAACAAGGAGCCATGGACCTCTCAAAATCAGCAGATAGAGAGAAATACAGTAGCAAGTTCACAGGTAGAACTTTCTTGCACATAAGACAGAAGGCCTAATCCTTGCCCCTGGAGAACTATATTCACAGTCTGTCTGAGGTCCCTATGGTACCGCTCGAGTGTGCAGTTAGGATGAACTTTGCTGTACACTTGACCAGCCTTGATCTGCCAAGAATTCTTCTCAAATTCCTTTTTACAGAGGCAGGAAAGCTGGGTTTGAGAACAAGGGCTGTAAGAAGCAGAGAGAGTTCCTGCACAGCTGTCTGTGGGTAGCAGAGCCCCCAGATGCCAGGTTGCTTCCATGGGGTCTCTGATGGGTGAACCTTCTTAGAAGCCACAGAACACTGTTCCCTTGGTGGCCATTGACAATGCTTCTAGGGTTGACTTGGAAACTTGTTACGAGAATCTTTTTCTTTTGCTAGCCGCTTTGGTTATCCCCCGCCAGTCGCCTGGGCTCTGCCGCGCCAGCCTGGTTCTAGATCCGCATGAGTCCCAAATAAACACACAGGAGGCTATATTAATTATGAAGCTGTTGGCCTTGTTTGTCTCTTACTGGCTAGCTCTGCTTTAAGTAATTACCCCATAATTGTTAATCTAAGTATGTCTCTTACCGGAGAATAGTTCCAGGCTTCCTACCCCTAATGGCGTTACATGTTGACTCTCTTGTGTTTCTCCTACCCAGAATCCTCCTGGATTCCTAGCCCCACCTATCTAGATTCCTATTGGCCAGCAGTACTTTATTGACAAATGCACAGACAAATAACAGGACTTCCCCAACAGAAACTAAATTTGAGTCTGGAGATGGCTTCCTGGATTCTCCAGTTCTTAAAGATGCCTAACATGTGCTCTAGTTCATGGATGTATAGTTCATAAAGAGGTAAGAGCACAGCCATCAGGAGTTTGCTACAGGTTAAAAGCTGATGCTATAGTCTCTTCCTTGGACTTTCAGAGCTTCGAAGATGACAATTTCCCTACATGTGGTGGCAGCTTAGGTACAGCTGGGCTATAATCTGTTATGTTACCCCAGGGCATTTCCCCAGACATTTGCCATGGCCTGATAGTTTGGGCGATGATAGAATCTTTAGGGAGGCATGGGAAATGTTGAGGGGCACTATAGATGGAGGAAGTGGGGTCCAGCCTTTCTTTCTCTGTAGCTCCCTGTCTCCACTAACTCTAAGCAGGAACATGGAGTGAAGGGGAGATCACTGCCACAGTAAGTCCCCCTTGAGCTATGTCTCACATATGTGAACTCATGGTTCTCACCATAGACCCAGGGGATCATCAGCACCAATTTCTAGATGAAATATTGAAGATGGCAACTTGCCAGGATTGGCTTCAAATGCTAGGCTGTTACACACCAAGTTTTGGGATGAGACCCCCTAGCCTAGAGAGTTCTTGTCCTCCATGACCAGAGATAAATCTTGGCCAGAAGGATAGCCTAGGGAAAGCTATCCCAGGGAAGACTAGTCAGGAAAGGCTAGCCCAGGGAAGGCTAGCTCAGGGAAGGCTAGCTCAGGGAAGGCTAGCTCAGGGAGGGCTAGCTCAGGGAAGGCTAACCCAGGGAAGTCTAGCTCAGGGAGGGCTAGCCCAGGGAAGCTTTGGGCTCCATTTTTCTTCCCCTACATTCTCTTTCTTCTCTTCACTACAAAAGTGCCAACAGCTCACCTGTCAACATCCAGAGCATCCTGAATGGACCACTGCTGTGGTTAGAACTTCCCCAGAACTATACCATCCTCAGTTTAGCGTCGGAATCGCCTGTGGTATAGACATGCTCTCTGCTTTCTATACTGTTTCCATATTGAGCAAGCTTATCAGTGCTGACTGAGTGTATCTACTAATGAACTTGAGTGCTGTACTTCCCTAAGGCAGAGTACAGGGGCCCGAAACCTCTCTTGAGACACAGAAGAAACGACTGTCTCACATCACACAGCTACCAAGATGATATATTCTGCCAACTTCTGCTTTTATAGTTAAAAGATTTTTTCTTTTAGCGGTGCTGGGTATTGAACTCAGGACTTCATATTTCTAATATAAGATGGATGAGTGGCCCAGGCATTGGGAGGGGGAGTGATAGAGATGGTTTGGCTTTTCTTTGGGTCTGTGTCTGAGAGCAGAGGTAACTTTCTTGGTGTTGGAAAAGGAGTTGTCCAAAATGAGTTCAACATGGCTACTGGCTTCCTCTCTCTTGGAGATTTTCTGGTTTTGTATTTTGAATATAACTTTACTGTAAAAAACTCACAAATAAAACATCACACAACTAAACCATGGTAGCCACTCAGACAGCTGCCACGTCCCAAACTCTGCACATCTCATCTATGAGTCATTTATGCAGCTCTGAAGCTGCGGAGCTTCAGTTAGAGTTTTACATGCTCACTATCAATTACATTTTTTTTTTACGAGACAGGGTTTCTCTGTATTGTTTCGGAGGCTGTCGGTCCAGCTCGGCCTCGAACTCACAGAGATCCGCCTGCCTCTGCCTCCTGAGTGCTGGGATTAAAGGCGTGCGCCACCACTGCCTGGCTATCAACTACATTTTAATGCACTTATCTACCACAGAAAAGAAAGAAACTACGGCAGAGTAGAATCTAGAGAAAATTAACTTTACATCTTTTCATGACCCGATTCATTTTGCCTGCATTCTGAATGTCCTTCCTCATCTCCTAATGCTACCCTTTCTTGTTCTCCTTTCTAAATGTTATACTTACAGTTATTTACATATAAACACATATGCAATATAGGCTAGGAACCACATATGAGGAAGAATATATGGGTTCTCTCTCTCTCTCTGATCTTACTTAATACTACACATTCTAAGCCCACCCATTTTCTAAAACTATTGTGCCTTCAGTTTTCTTTAGGGTTGAATAATATTCCATTTGATATATTTGCCAGACCTTCATTATCTATTCATATGTTGATGGATATCTATGTTTGTCCATTTTCTTTTAATAATAAATGGATCAACAATAAACATGGATGTACAAATACAGTAAGATACAGAGTTCTCTGGGTATTTACATAGGAGTAGGGTAGCTGTATCACATGGTAGTTGTTTTAAATTTCTTAAAGAGAGATTTTTCAGAGTATATAAAAAGCCCACAATATGAGATGCAACCTCTTGCACAAATCTAAGAGAACCTGGAGGTTTCAGTAACCCAAGAAACAATATTCTTTCAAAGGTAAGATACAGAAAAAGAAGAGAAGGGATAACTTGATTGTAGCATTTGGGCTAAATATCTGGTATCATTCCTTGAATAAACAACTGTGTGTGGAAGGCAAGATATAGAAAAGACGACAAACAGGTAAGAGTTAGTAACTATCCGTGGGCTGAGCTCTCCACATACCCCACTTGCTCCCAAGAGCCCCACAGTGGCAGTCCTCAACAAATTTAGGCAAACATGTATTTGGAGGTACCTGGCTAGGGATAGCCTTGATTCATTTCATTGTTGGAGCTCCTTTAAATACATGGTTGAATTAACAACCAGCCACAGACCTAATCTCAGGGAGGGGACACTGGGGGCATCTTGCAACACTGCCTTTCCTGATGAGGTCTCTGAATTCCTACCAGGCTTTAAGGGGCTCAAGGACACCAGATGGCTCACTGCACAATCATTCTCAATGTTTTCTCATCTTCAAGAAACTCATGAGCTGCTTAAAATGAATTTTCAAATGTGTGGTTAGACTGGATTTACATCTGAGTCGCTGCATAGTAAATGCTGATTATTAAAAGCATTTGCATGGTGCTTTACAGCAATAGATTATGTATCTGTTACCTAAGTCTCAGTGAAGGCTTTATTAATTCATTATTATTTTATCAACATACAATAAACTGTTCTATTAAATCTAAATTAGACAGATATTTGGGGAGGGATCATCTAAAAGGACCTCAGCCGAGACTATCCCCAGGGAAGGACTTAATGAAGTTTCAAACAGTTAATAACCCTTAGTTCATAAATAAACCATGGGTATTTAAAGACCTGCAAAATACTAAAATAAGACATTGGGAGTCTGCAAAGAAGGTATGCAAAAACACTCTTGGAATCCCCCTCCCAGAGCTCCCCATATGCCCCCCACCCCCGACATCTATAGACAATATTTATGGGCTCTCTGGGAATATATGGTTTCCTCCAGATGAACTGACCTGATCACAGATTCCCTGAGAAACGGGCAGAGAAGCAGCCTGGAAACTACCTTCTTGTGTCAGATAATCCAGTTTTGACTTACGGGTGTCCTGGTGTGAGATGAGCCCAGAGGAGTGAGAGTCTGCTGTGATGCGGGTCCTGTAGGTAAGGTTCATTTCTGATGACTCATCCTGCTAGTTTGACTGACTTGACAGATGCCTGGGAGATTAGGGGAGCACACCCCTGAGTGTGTCTGTGAGGCTGTTTCCATGCTGGACAGTATCTGAGGGGAAGGACAGCACCATCCAAAAGGCTGGAGTCTGGGGCAGAGTGAAAATGGAGGACAAGGCCAGGCAGTAGAGCCGACCTTTCTAGGCAGAGCCTATGGCTGCTTCTGCGGCCTGTGGACATCAGATGCCAGCTGCCAGCTGTGGACTCGGTGCCAGCAGCCATCCAGGGAGCTTCTAGGCCTTTAGCTTTAGATTAGAGTGCATCCTTGGCCCCGTTTTTCCGAGCTCCCCAGATTCTTGGATTGAGTGGTTACCACAAACACACTCTCTCTCTTGATTTTGGGTAGTCATTATTGGACTACCCAGACTCCGATTATCTCCATTAGTCGAAAAGAAATCCCTTTTATAATTATGTATACATATGTGTTCACACACAACACACATACAACATACATGGCTACATCATATGCAGGGTCCAGTGCCCAATGAAAGCAGAGCCCTTCTAAGTACCAAAGTGCACTGGGATTGCATAGGTGGAAGCTTGAGACAGACAGGCCCTGGGGTTGGGAAGTGCTATTTCTCCATCTGAAGATGAAGATGGAGTAAGGTATTCCAGAGGAACAATTGCAGAGAGAAGAGCAAGGCAGTGGTGATAAGTCTGAAAAGGTCATGGAGCCAGGCTAAGAGGACAAGGATGATCAGGGCAGAGGGTGATGACCTACAGTCTCAGGCCCATTGGCGGTCCAAGGCCAAGGGACAATGCCACTGGGTAGGCTTTGGCCATGGCTGTGATCTGTGCCACCAAAGTTGCTCAGTTTGGGGCTTGACTGGAGATACCACTGGCTTTTCTTTCTTTTTTTTAGCTTGAAACATGGGTCCGTGGATGACAACTAACTAACTTAAAGGGATTTGAAACTTTCTTAATTTGGCATTCTGTGAAAGTAGAGTCAGAGGCACAGAGCTGGATGAAAATGATTTAATTATGGGTTGTGGTGATATTTTGTTTGTGCTCTAACAAATAAAGCTTGCCTGAAGATCAGAGGATGGAGCTAGCCACTAGATGACCGTAGAGTCAGGCAGTGGTGACACACACCTTCCATCTCAGCACTTGGGAGGTGGAGACAGGAAGTGATATGACTGGGCAGAGAAAGGAATATAAGGTGGGTGTAGACAGCCTTTTGGTTTGAGAATTTCCTACGGGTGAGAACTTTAGTGATTAGCTGCTTTACTTTTATGATCTTTCAACCCCTAACACCTGACTCTGGGTTTTTATTATTAAGACCAATTAGATTCGTACTACAAT